GCGAAACGTTAGGAAACAAAACTTCAAGAACACGGCCACACAGCCCGGAAGACCCACACCAGCCATTTAAATCCCATAGTTTCACAAACATTCATCAGAACAACTGTATCAGCCAAATTTGTACAAAAGGTACTAAGATAATCATTTGCATTTGTAGTTTCTAAGAAAATTACATTAAAAGGAACAAAAAGTTTTAAACCAAGCATAATGTCTTATTTTTAAGGCAATAAGAAAAAAAATTAAGCTCTACCAATATGTAAGCAATAAAATCAGCCACAAGCCAAAAAAAAGCAGCAAATATCAGCCAGCTTTTTGTGCAACACTTAACAGGGATTGTATACATATTATACAATTATTATAAATGACAGAGAATCTGTTTCAGCTCAAAAGAGGAACTAGGCCAGCATGCTGTGAGGTGAGATGCCACCAATAAAGGGCTCATAAATGCAAATAGCCCCTTTACGTTTTCTCAAGTCACACTGTATTCACTTTCATGCACAGAAACATACCCTTTACTCACAACAGCTAAATTATTTCAAAGCCTGAGGTGATAATACAAGGAAGAAACAGAACACTGAAAAGTGAAAGGTGAACCATTTTCTCCCTAACAGTGACCCCAATCCCCCAGCCTGTTCTCCCATTTGGCAACAAGTCTTTTAAAAATCTTCCAACACTCCTTCAGGCTTTAAAATTGAGGAAAAGTTGCTCTCTCTGCTTAGTTAGTAACCTCACATTTTTCTGAGGATGGGATGCAGCAAATATGAGAAGGGGAAGCCTGTGGGCTACAAGAGCTTCATGCCTGTTGTATATCACAATGAAGCAAGAGAAAGGAAAATAACAACCCAAGTCTCTCTCTCAAGTTTTCATACAGCCCTAAACCTAACTTTTCTTTTCCTGTCCAGCTAACTGCACAATTGCAAGCATTTCATATGAATTCTAAATTATGATTAATTTTAATTATAGTTAGGCAGTTTCATAAACTATTGCTAATTGGTTTGCTAGTGCTTCCATTAACCAGAATTAA